TCACTTTTCGCTAAAATTGATGGTTTTTCCTGCAAAGTGAAAAAACTGTTTTCCTCACTTATTTGTTTAAATAGAAAAGTTAGCTAATAAAATTTTTTGACTCACGAGACGAGAGTTGTCTTGTATTATGTTCCTTTAGACAATTTTACAATAATATCGTGGATAGGAATTTTTTTAAGATAGTTCCAACCTATGTTCAGAGTACCACGAGTAGCTACCACGTACTTGAGTATACAGGATGTTTATTAAGTACTTACACAACCTTTAACGGCTGAATCTTTGACTAATTGTAAGACAAATAGTTCATATGACCATGGGTCTGCAACGGCCTAGTTCTTGAGATACAGAGCGTCCAAAAAAATAATTTGGACCTCCGCTCGCTCGCTGCTTCCCCCATTACCGCTACCCGTCTCTGGCTTGTGGGTACTTTCGATCGTTTTGAGTGACTTTCAACGACATTTTTAGCATATTTCGCATCACCCAGGCGAAAATCCGAGATGTACAAATTGGAGATTTTGTCGTCTACTTTCAGATGCCGTTTTCAGAATTTAAATCGGACCATTTTTGATAAATCGCCACGGTGTGCAAAGAAAGACCCTAATTTGTTTATAATGCAATTGTGCAAAAACTATGCATCGAACAGAAACCATCTTGCGCACGATTAAACTACATATTATTATCTGTCATTTTCCGCAAGATTGTTTTTTCAACTTCAAATGTGACGGAGTTATGAATCTTTGAAAAAAGGTCTATTTTAGAGGTTTTTCCGGATTTTCTCCGAATGATCCGATCGGGTCGCACAAAAAACCATTTTATTGTTTTTTTATTCTCTACAAAAGTCCTATTGAGAGTAAGCAATTTCATCATTATTTTTCGAGATATTATAAAAAAAACAAAAAAATATATTTTTTTTGCAGTTATTAGGTATTTAAAAAAAATTCTTCACGACTTTTCTGGGGAAATCACTTGGGTTTTAATTTATTAAGTATTTTTCAAAAGCTAATACATGAAATTTGCTGTAATATTTAAGTGTGCCAAAAAATCTCTATTGGTTGGCCTATATTGGCAATTTTGAACCTTTGCCCAAACAATTTACACTTCTGCATGAAAAACATGCACTTTTCTTTGCAAAATTAATATTTAATACAACAAAAATTGCGATTGATTATGTTAAGAGATGAGAATGACGTACACTTCGAATACAAAAATGTCTAGTACCATTAGAGTTGGTACCTTATAAAAATTTGTAGCAGACTTAGGATTTATAACTCTTACGTTATAGTTCTCAAATATGACGTCTTAGATCGTATTTGATAGTAATAATATTAGATATACAGGACAAGAGGGTCTGTCTAATTGTGGACATTGTCCACAGGGGCCGTCTGCTGCCTTGAGGCAACGCGATCAATGTCGTCAGATTTATAATATTATAATAGTGCAATAAAAGTATTATAGATAATAAACAGCAAGATAAATACGTAATTTGTTAAATTTGAAAGCGCTGATCGCAATGCCTCTGGATCCTGACGGCCTACAAATGTTAAAATTTGTGGACAAGCATCAGCCCTTTGACTTATCTGATAGCTCAGTTTATAAAATCAATGGTAATAATAATTAATTTGAACTTAATTTGTTTTAATTTGTTATTATGTTAAATGCCTGCAACACTTGTATATCTTATATAAAAATTTCTTTTGCTTTGGTGCACCTATTTCTTCCACAGTTCATTAGGGAAGTTTATTATTATTATTATTATATTTGATTTTTTAAATGTATATAGAATGTTAATGTATATATAATGTATGTTAATAATAATTTCTTCACAGCTTTAGTCCTCTGTACATATAATAACGCATGAGTATTTCTAATTGTTCTAACAAAGATCATTTCACATTTTCCTATTTTTTCACTAACGTCAATATGGTGTTCTTTAGTATATGATTTTTTAAAATGTTTTATGCTAATGACTGAGATGCCAAACACTTAGAATATTAAAAATGGTTATAAAACATTTTAAATTGCTTTACTGCAGTATCAGAGTTCCTAATTTTTGTCAATAGCACATGGTGAAGCAAGCTAACATTTCTGGAAATCTAGACACTCCAGAAGGAGGTTTTGATGCTATTATGCAAGCTATCGTGTGTAAGAATCAAATAGGTTGGAGAGATAAGGCCAGAAGACTACTCGTATTTTCTACAGACGCTGGTTTTCATTTTGCCGGAGATGGAAAGGTAGAAGCATGGCATAAAATGAGTTTTATAAACTTTTAATGACATATGTACGACTTTTTTTAGCTGGGTGGTATAGTTAAGCCCAATGATGGCAATTGTCACTTATCGCACGAAGGTTTCTATACTCAGTCATCTTACCAAGACTACCCTTCCATCGGACAGATAAATCTCAGTGTACAAAGGAATTATATCAACGTAATCTTTGCCGTTAACAGAAGCACTATTGGTATTTATAAGCAGCTAGCTAAGAGCATAGAAGGGGCATCTGTTGGTGAACTGAAAAGTGACAGTTCCAATATCGTACAACTCATAAAGGAGCAGTATCAACAGATCTCTTCAACCGTCGAAATGAAACACAATGCTTCAAGTGCTGTCAGCCTTAAATTCCACAGTCGGTGTTTGGACTCCACTGGTGCTTTGGTGAATACCAACAAATGTGCGAATATAAAGGTAGGAAAATGATTTTTAATTTAGTTTTTGTATCCGAGTTGTTTTTTTTTAGGTTGGAGATCTCATCCTTTTTGAAATTGACATTGAAGTGCTCAAGTGTCCCAAAAACCGCGCTGACCATTTCCAAACAATCAGAATTTACCCAGTCGGTATAGATGAAAGTTTAACTATCGACTTGCAGATGTTGTGTGAATGTGACTGCGAAAAACCAGGACACAAGGTATATTAGTTCTGGAATGAATCGCTTTTTATTTCAAATTGATTCTTTTTAGTTTTATCAAGAAAATTCTCCGTTTTGTTCGCATCGTGGTACATACAAGTGTGGTATTTGTGAATGTATACCTGGTGCTTTTGGACGTACATGTGAATGCACCTCCAAAGAAGACGGTCATAACGTTACCAGGACGAACTGTATTGATCCCAAAAACCCTACTGGCCCTGAATGTTCCGGGAAAGGGCAGTGCAATTGTGGAGTTTGTGAATGTGTAAAACGCGACAATGACGAGGTAGGCGGTTTTTACAGGGATCTTTTTCTGAAAAAAGTTTGGTATTCACTGGATTCGCTGCAAAAAAATATTTAAATTATAGGATTTTTAAGTAAGCAGACATCTAAAGAATGTAATTCTTTTCTACAAACATAAAAATTTATATAGTTTCACCGTGAAAAATTTTCCAGATTAATATTTCAAATACTTGAACAAACAGTTGTGTAATAATTTCTTTCAAGTCAGTTTAAATCATGTAAACGTCCTTTATATTATTTTTACATATAAAAACTGTAACAATATACCAATAAAAAAATCGGTTTTTAGTTAATTTATGGTACCTACTGCGAGTGTAACAATTTCTCATGTGAACGACTCGACGGCAAGCTTTGTAGTGACCATGGAAAATGTGATTGTGGTAAGTGCCTTTGCACTCCCGAATGGACAGGTCCCAACTGCGCCTGCCGAAAATCCAAAGACAACTGCTACCCTCCAGACAGTAACATTACTTGTTCTGGACATGGAGAATGCGTATGCGGTCAATGTGTTTGTGACTATGTCAAAGAGGGACGGTATACTGGCAAGTTTTGTGAGAAATGTCCCGTAAGTCTGCAATGAGTTTTAATTTTTACTAAGGGGTTTTTGTGTTTTGTGCAGCGTTCTTAATCCACTACTATATACAGGGTGTCCCATAAGCACATGATCAAAAAGGTACTGCGACATTCTTTGGCTCAAAAGAAGACGATCTGACCTAACTTCCATTAAGAAAAAATGTCTGGCTACTCTGCTATTGATTGTCAAAGTTCTTGAAAAAAATTATGTTTTTTGTAGTATCTTGAGAATTTTACTATGGATTTTAATAAAACTTGCTGAGGACTTGTTCCTAAGTAAGACTCATATTTTGCTGGAGCAACCGCATCCATCCGCCTGGGGCAAGTGATAAATTCGTGAGTGTCTCGGTACAAGAATTACCAGAACTTTTTTATTGGTAGCTGGAATCAATTCATTTTATTTTTATTGATGCATCAGTCCTTTTTCGAGATTTTCGTGGTCTTGGTAAAATCTTGTAGCATTCATAGTTTTTCATTATTACTACTACTCAAGTACAACAACTACTCACTACAATCTCTACTATCGTAGTAAGCAATGATGTCATTTTATAATAAATCAATTGTCAAACTTTTGACGTTGGTCGGACAGTTCAACACATTCGTTTCGAATGGCGTTTTCTAACGAAGAGATGACCGACATGGTCAGAGTCTTAGGGTTTTGCGAAGACAACTTGCGTGGGAGTGTAGGTACGCGTCTACGCGGCGCGATACCCAAATCGACGGGTTCCAGATTACCGGACATTTGCACGGATTGAAAGGAGTTTGCGGGAGACTGGGTCAATTTGGTGTTCGAACCGTTGACAGTGTGGGTCGTCCTCAAGTTCGAAATGCAGCCGTTAAGGAAGACATTTTAAATAGGGTCGCTGAAGATCTAAATATCAGTACTTTCCGTCTGGCAGTGGAATTTGGCGTACCAAAAAGTACAATTAATCGAATCATAAGACAGCAGCTCCTCCATCCTTATCATGCGATGTCAATTCAGGGGATTTTACTACACGATTTTGAGAGACTTCAATTTTGCCGCTTCGTGCCAAAGGAGCGCGGGCACGTGACCCAAACACCAACAGAATTTTATTCACTGATGAAGCTGGTTTTACCAGAAATGGTGTCTTTAATCCACGTAATTTCCACCATTACGCAGAAGAAAAGCCTCATGCGAGGCGTATTAACAATTTTCAGGTGGAATTTCGAATAAATGTTTATTCCGGGATCATCGGTGACATCCTTCTGGGTCCTTATTTCATACCGCACCGCTTGAATGGCAAAAATTATCTCAATTTTTTAACTAATACTTTTCCGGTTCTAATGGAAGATGTCTCTCCATCTTCGTGCTCAGATGTGGTTCATGCACGATGGTGCTCCTCTGCACTTTAGAACTGCATATTTAAATAATACTTTTCCACACAAGTGGATCGGAAGACGTGGGAGAGATATTCCTGTCGAATGGCCCCCCAGGTCCCCCGACTTAACGCCATTAGATTTTTTTCTGTGGGGATCCTTAAAGAATATAGTTTACGCCTGTGGAATCCCAGGAATAATTATTACGGAGGATTCAAAACGAGGAGGACGTAATACAAAATGATCCAGAAATGTTGAGGAGAGCTCAATTTAATTTTAATCGAAGGATCCAGTTATGCATCCATGAAAATGGCGAGCATATCGAACATGTCTTATAATTCATCTATCGTATCTTTGTAACTATCATCCAGTTTCAATAAAGAGAATTATGTCTTTCCTAAGTACGTTTTTACACTTTTTGCGCGTTAACAAAAAATAAATCTAATGATATAAAATGATATTCAATCTGTCGCATCATGACAGACTTTAAAATTGTGACCATTTTACTTTCAATATTGATTCCTAGGTAAAAGAACTGGCATAACTATTAGAGAATGCCGATTTTTGTGAAAGGGCAGATTTACTGCGATACGTCTAAAATTGTTGTCACAACGAAACAGAAAATATTTTTTTGCGTAAAAACTATGAATGCTACAAGATTTTACCAAGAGCACGGAAATCTCGAAAAAGGGCTGATGCATCAATAAAAAAAATGAATTGACTCCAGCTACCAATAAAAAAGTTCTGGAAATTCTTGTACCAAGACACTCAAGAATTTACCAGTTGCCCAAGGCGGATGGACGCGATTGCTTCATTAAAACATGAGTCTTACTTAGGAATAAGTCCACAGCAATTTTTTTTCTTAATGGAAGTTAGGTCAAATCGTCTTCTTTTGAGTCAAATAATGCCGCAGTACCTTTTTGATCATGTGCTTATGGGACACCCTGTATAATAGCGTTTTTATTAAGTCTTTTGCAATGATTTAATTTATTTAGTACTGAATATCATTTATCATAGATGCTGTCAGCGCTTTAGCGAATTTAAACATTAACATTTCTTGGTTATTATAAGCGTAATTCGTAATCCAATTACGGTTTTGGTGTGTGCAATATGTCCAATGAGTTTAAGGATACATAACCAGTTGCTTAGTGGAAGTATCGACTAATCCAGGAACTTTCTTATGAAGTGTTTAATAACGGTGATATTAATACGTTTTTATCACTGGCGCTCGCTATGGGACCTATAGTGTAGGGGGTTAGGTGCACGGAAAGTGCTAGATAGTACAACACAGTGCACTTTCCGTGCACCTAACCCCCTATGCTATAGGTCCCATAACGACTCGCACTTGTGATAGAAAATAGTATGTGTAACTCGTTCGGAAAAGTTGCCATAGCGCCACTTGGGCGCTTTCTGCACTCGCTTCGCTCGTGCGTCAACTGCGTCCGCGTGGCGCTATTGGCAACTTTTCCCCACTCGTTACACAATGAACTATATAATATTTTAACAAGCGATTTCATAACCACCTGTTATGAGCAAATAAGCAGTGTTTTTATAAAAACACTTATGTGTGATTTTCAACTAATTCAGCACTAATATTCTTCTAAGCTTTCAAAATTCGAAACAATTTTTATATATTCCACCAGTATTCTCTCTTAGAACTGCAAGGATAGATGTGACGAGTTTAGAGACTGCGTGCAATGCCGACAGTACAAAACAGGCCCACTAAATGAGGCGGATTGCGCTGCAAACTGCACGACGTTAACTCTCATACCCGTGAAAAAGGCAATTGGTAAACATTTTTTTTTTAAGTGAGTACAATCCTTTATAATTAACATTTTCTAGCTGATGAAGAAGGAGGTGAGATACAGTGCCCCTATATAGACGAAGAAGGCTGTCATTACACCTACGTTTATTATTATGATGATAAAAAGAAGTTACAAATTAGGGTGCAAGAAGAAAGGGAGTGCCCTGAGACCGTAATTTTACCCTATATTTTCTAATAAGTTTTCCTCACAGTGTTGCTTTTAGCTTCAATTACCAATCGTTATTTTGGGTGTGATAGCTGCCGTGGTTCTTATTGGTATGGCGATGTTGCTTCTTTGGAAGGTATTTACCACCATACACGATAAGAGGGAATTTGCCAGATTTGAAAAGGAGAAGATGATGGCCAAGTGGGATACTGTGAGTGTTTATTGATTTTTTAAATCGAAAAAGTATATGAAAACCAGTTTTTTCTCAATTGTATTAAAGAGAATTTTGAATACGCTCCGTCCAGCATTGAACTACACTTCCAATCTCTAGTAAACGACTAAGATTATTCGACAGCAATATCACTAAATAACGCCCGTTTCGAACTTATTAGTTCTTATCACTATGCTGTAGGTATAGAGCAGTCTTTATGCCAGTAGGCATTGAGTAGAAATGATGAGATATATTTTGGGGGTGTCTATGGGTTTATCACACATAGACACCCAAATAATTAAATTGTTAGTCAGTCGCCTCGTCTATGCTGTACAATGGATTCGAAATTATTAGGTATTGGGTGTGTAATTCAATGACGGATGAAGCACATAGCCCACAATATCGTTAGAAAAAAAAGTTTATTTTACCTAGTGTGAAACAAGTCATACTTTCATAGTACCTACAGGTTATAGGTCACTCTGCCAGTAGTAATGCTTTGTACAAGTAGGTATTGACAAGCGGTGGCATTGAAGATGTGACATATACTTTGTAGGTTATATCTCACCTAAACTAATTGAAGTAGTAATTTCAAATAATTAATTTTTTTAGGGAGAGAATCCGATTTACAAGCAAGCCACGTCGACGTACAAAAATCCTACTTACTCAGGAAAAGGTTATCATTAAAATATGCATTTTTTTACAGTAAAAATCTAATTTTAATCTATGTTTTGTAAAGTTTATTGGAACGAGATAAATTATTACATGCAAATAAAGTACTTACTTTCTTTTAATGGTTACAGATTTGTCAAGAAATTTGGAAAATTAGATTGTGTGCATTAGGGACCAAAGAAAAAAACGAATATTTTTTTTTCGTGTCCCTTGTGAAAATATGTTAGCTTATCATGTTTTAAGAGCCCCCTCAAAAAATCAGCTCAAAAAGGTTGCTCAAGATTTTTAAAAATTTCCAAAATCGTCAAAAATTGAATTTTTTAAAAAATTTTTTTTCTCATTATTTTATCATTTTCTAGGTTCAAATTCTAAAAATTTCAAATCGATATTTTAATTTCTAAAGGTTACTCATAATTATTTTATCGTTCAAAGTAGTGATAAGAGATAGACCTCTAAAAATAAATATCAACGAATTAATATTTTTTTTTATTGAATTTGATGAACAAAAGAATAGAAATAAATCACGAGACACTTAAATTTTAAAAAATTAAAAAATTATAAATATTTGATACTCACAGTGCGATAGTAAAGTGTCGTGATTTATTTCTATTCTTTTGTTCATCAAATTCAATAAAAAAAATATTAGTTTGTTGACATTTATTTTTACAGGTCGCTCGAAAACATTTTAGGTACACTACTTTTAAAGTTAAAATAATTATGAGTGTTTTGAAATTAATGACACTTGAAAATTGGGCTGGTATAATGCTTTATTTTTTACTTTACAACTTTTTGCAAAATACATATGTACTCTATAGTGGACTGTAACACACTCCTTTTTTCATCTTCGTTCTCCCTTTTCACACACTTATGCACACCTCGCGCCATCTGTTTGTCCACACACGAACCACAAACGGTGCCACGCACTTTTGTTTTTTAACTAAGAAATCCCAACAATGAGTGACCTTTAGAAATTAAAATATCGATTTGAAATTTTCAGAATCGAGTTTTCAACCTAGAAAATGATAAAATAACTAGAAAAAAAATCAACTTTTGGCGATTTTGGAAATTTTTAAAAATCTTGAGCGACCTCTAAAAAAATTTTTTTAGAGCTGATTTTTTGAGGGGGCTCTTAAAACATGATAAACTAACATACTTTCACAAAAGTCACGAAAATAAAATATTCGATTTTTTTTTGGACCACACTAATGTGCATACATACTTATAGCTGTTTTACATTGACAATTTATTGATCAATTAACTCATGAAGTCGCTTTATCAAGAAATTGGACAAGTGTAATGCACCGAATCTGCTGTCAAATAACTTCATGAATTTATTCATCAAGTTCTTGACGAATTAGAGCATGTTCTAATTTTCGTCAATTTCTTCGTGAAGTTGACAAGTACCAACCCAACAGATTTCCAGCCTTAGATCAGTAATGAGGTTATGTTATTGGACTATGTAAATAATTGTGTGGCGTCGTGCTAGTTTTGCATTGTTTTTAGTGATTTGTTACTTACAAAAACTAATATTTATATAATATGTGTCAGAACGGTACCGCTGTTGTATCACTACAATTATGAGTGGCAAGGTGACATTTTTGAAATGTATTTGCTTCTTTGATTCGTTGGTAGAACTGATTCATACGTCAAAAAACTTGCCAAAGTCTGTAGCAGTGTAAAACCACACTGTTTACCAATAAATTCGTGAATTAATTCATGAAGCACTTCGTCAATTTATTCATCAATGTAAAACAGCTACTTACTTAAATTAATATATATTAACTTATTTGTAAATAAATATATTTATTATTATAACTTGTTAATTTGTAATTAGAACACTTATTCCCTATTTCGTTTTTTTAGTTCCAGAATATTTGTTTAGGTACTGATTGCTAGGAAACATCTGTAGCAAAATTATTTTGCTTAGAATTGTGCAATGTAGTTTTTGTAGATTTAAAACAACACAGGTTTTTAAGTTATTGTTGATAACTAGAGTTTACTAATGATTGAATTTTAACTTTGTACTGTTATGTGTATTTCAATAAAATTTTATCTTTTTAATTATAAACTTTCCTATCTCTTAATAATTATTTTTTGGTAGGTATCATACATTTACGATTACTTCGATAGATTCTATCTTTTTGTCACTGATTTTAAAGAAAATGAAAAAGTGTCTGTCTCTTTCACCAGATTGAAATTCCTTCAATTTTTTTCTGTTTATGTTGATAACTAAATAATAATATAATAATATCTCTCTCTTTCCCTCATTCTAATCGCAAGGATTAGCCCAGAAGTCGGAGGCATGTACAGGAGAGGGCGGCATGTTATTATTCAATAGGCCGAATGTAAATTTTACTAATGATTATATTTTAACACTGTACTATTTAAAATTTGATCCGTTGAATCATCGACTTTTTCCCGTTATCCTGGAATTATTTCTTGGACTTCTCTTTAGAATTACCTCAAAAGATTTCAGATACTTGTTAAATATTTCGAAGAAAATTTGTGTAAAGGGTGTTCTCTAAGTTGGAGTTTCCTTTTTAACAAGGCATGGAACAGAAGAAAGTAAGAATATTTTCCAAATAACATTTTCCTGAAAATTCATAGAAAATATAAAACTAATCTTTTTATTTAGATAAGTTCAGACCTGCCTAAAGAAGTTGCTGTTTTTGGTAAAATCAACTAGTTTTCTTATAGTGTGAAAATTAATTTATTTAGATCAAATACGCTTCATTATTCGACAAGTTTTGTCATCTCTCGGGTAGAACCATGATGCCATTAATGAAGAACTTCTGTGGTTTCTCGTCGAAAAATTGGATCAGGTGGTTTTCACAGGCTTCTCCTGAAGTCAGCTTAATTCCATTGAAAGAGTTCTACAGAGACCGGAACAAGTGATAGTCAGCGGGTGCTTATGTCTGGACTATACGGTGGATACATCAAAACTTCCCTATCAAGCTCTCGCAATTTTCAACACATTTCCAATTATTCAATTCGGGCCGTTTTCTTATAACTGTTTGGCGTATTCTCTCAGTTGATCACATCTGGTAGACGATACAACTACACGCAGCATCACCTTTTTGATATCAATCCTGCCTTTGCGAACGCTTGTGTTGGCTCACCATCCCTTCTCCATGATCTTGTATGCTACCGATTGTTGTACATGACCATTTTTCATCACCGGTTATGACACGTTTCAAAAATGGCTCGATTTTATTGTGTTTCAGCAACGGATCGCAGATGTTAATTCGGTCTAACATGTTTTTTGCATTCAACTCATGAGAAACCCATACAACGAACTACTTTCTGTAGCGAGCTTTGTTAAATGGTTCAAAACAATTTTGTGGTCGATACCGATATTGACACTGTTGATATATTTATTTTGCAGGACTTTTTCCAAGAATTTTAATAGCTTTTTCACTGATTAGACGACCAAAGCGTACCCTATCTTTTACATCAAAATTACCAAATGAACGAACCATTTCTGCACAGCAGAATTTGATAAAGTACCTTCACTGTACACAAATTTTTTCACAAGTCTGGACAACATTCATGTCACATATTAGTAATAATACCTACTGCAAAATATACGCAGTTTTTATTTATTAATTTTCTCCATTTTCAACACACAACTTTCCAGGTACTGCACCAATTTCAGTGTTTATTCCCCCAAAGTAACAATCGAAGTGTAACCTTTAACCTTTCCAACGAGCGTTTATTACTGTCGTAGCGATCAATGGTTCGTGAGTTATTTTCATTGACGCCATCTATCGGGAAAAATGTCACGAACTTTTCCCACATCTATATATCAATTAATCCATCACTCCTATAAATATGGGTCATTTTAAACATTGAAGTTACGCAGTTTATTGTTTAAAACTTACCACTACTTTTAGAAGACATCACGTCAAACACAAATAACATGACAATGCAACTAATTTCTATATTTTTTGTTGTATTTTTAATTGTTATTATACGTATTATTTCATGTGGCTTTTCTGTTATTTTTGACATTTTGAAATAACATCAAAAACTTGATAATTTTATAGAGCTCTATATCAAGTTAAAAGAAAAGTCTCGATTTATAAAACGATCTGTATATAGAAAAAAATGAGCTATTTTATCACCTGATTTAAATTCTTTTCTCCTCCATTTTTGTACTGTCTAAAAATAATTCTTCCAGAGAAGTATAACCTTGAAAAGTATGTAAAAATTACACAGCCCCACAAAAAAAAATTGAAATTATTTTCTCCGATATCTGAGGCGGTGCACTTTATGTTTTTGGGGTTGCTGAATCCGAATCCGGGGTCCGTTTAACCCCATCACGTCAGGGTCAAGGGCATCTGAAGGTCAAATTGCGGAATGACTATTAAAAAATTTTGAAAAATTTATATATATGTTTTCGGGGTCGCTAAATCTGAATCTGGGGTTCTCTTGACCTTGAAGTGTCATAATCAAGGTCAAATAAAGGTCAAAACCCTAAAATTTGATGATATGATCATTTTGACCCCGGATTCTTGAAGAGCAGAAAATTTTACGTCCGAATATGTATTGACTTTTTTTTTAGAACAGACCTTTGTAGGTCACGTGATGGTCATCCAAAATCAAATCCATTTTCCAGCTTTTGGCTGTAAATTGAGATCTTGGGTCTTTGATGAGTTGATATTTTTCGGGTCGTTGATCACGATTCTGGTATTCATTTGAGCCAATCACGTCGTAATATAACGATATAATATTTTCTTACTCCGGATTATGAAAGAGTGAAAAATTTCATCTGTGTGTTTGCATCCAGGGCACCTCACCGTGGTGACGGCGGGCAACGGAGTTGTCCCGCTATCCGGCAAAGTCCCTGGAACAGGACGCGTATGCCGTCATGGCAAACACAACGGAGAAATTTACGATGCAGGGGGATGGAACCCCAGTATCGGCGGCTAGTCAGGGTGGGAAAGCGGGCCCGCAGGCGTCGTCATCCAGTGACCGCGGCTCTGTTGAGGTGGCTACCTTGGCCTCACCAGAGTATAAAGCTACAAGTAGTAGAACCCATAGACATGAGCATGACAACCTAAAAACCCCATATCATTTCTGTTATGTTTGTGGTAAATACGTATTCGGATGTAAAATTTTCTGCTCTTTCGGAATCCAGGGTCAAAAATATCATATCATCAAATTTTAGGGTTTTGACCTTTATTTGACCTTGATTCCGACACTTCAAGGTCAAGAGAACCCTAGATTCAGATTTAGCGACCCCG